TAGTCGAAAAGAAAAATCAATTATTCTTTTTCTGTTTCTTAGTATAAATGACTTGTTTCTATATTCCATAAACTTCGTCGTTACTCACAAGTTTCAGTTTATAGCATTCTCAGCATCCTTATGTCGCACCGGATTTCTTTTGCCTTAAGTTTCTTCATCTATGTGAAATTTGTGAAGCATTCGCAGCCTTAAAGTAGGACTGATATTACATAACAGTTCAGCATTTTTTCTTTAGAGAATCAATATCATATTGTGGCCAGTGGACCGATCAGGCAAAACAACAATGTTCCGTCAAAGATGTTAGGCCTATTAGTGTGTAATCAAAGGATTAAATTAATGACTTCAAAATACGTACAAAATGTCTCTGGAGACGTATGATCCATAATATCCACGAATTTTATCTGTAGAAACAACACTTCTGTACAGTGAGATTAGCGACAATACATATTTAAAGAAGCGTGACCAGCAATACATTTTACAAATTATTTATATTTCGACATTAAATAAGCCATAGAGGCTGATATGCCACTAAAGAAAACCAACCAAACGACACATATGAAAGAACTCTTTCATGACATATATAATATCCGACAATTTCTTAAATCAAAATGTATTCCAAAATATTTCAACAAAACTGCAGCATAAAACACATTATCGCCTTTAATAATTATGCTAATAGAAACACACACACACATCGAAAATCTAGTAGACGCCGTAGTTTCCTAGTATTCATCTTACAGGATGAATACATACATGCAATGTATAGCATCGAATTTAAAATTTGAATGTTATCTGTCTTGAATAGAAAAGCTTATAAGAGGAAAGTGTGAATCAATAAGGATTCTCTCAATCAGAAAATACTATATTTTCTACATTATTAAATTTGCTTCCAATGAAACACGTCAAACATTAATACTTTTTTTTAATTTAAAGAAGTACATTAATTCGCGGGAATAACTGAAATCAATGTGACACAACGTCAAATTTAAAGTGACAATTTTACGCATACATAGGGTCAGAAGTCAAAAACAGTGTGCCCTCTTCGGTAGTTTACTTTACGGAATGCCTTAGACACCAGGGATTATTATTAGTCTTCTTCAGTGTGTGAGGTAATACGGGAGGATGTCCTGAGGCTAGACTTCATTAATTCGAGCCTCAGAACGGCAATTCAGTACCAGATTGACTGCTTGATGCTATCATCTTACTGTTGAAACTGTTAGATGTAACCGGAAGTTCTATGCTAACAATTTCTTCTCTTAGCACTTCTGACTTGTGAAACTCTCATCTGGCTTCTTGCTTACCAGTCAACTTTGATCTTCAAAAATTTAAACGCAATATCAATTGTCATTTTCTACTTTCTTAATTTCTATTCTTTTATTGTTCTTTCTCCTTAATAATGTTTTTTCTCAATTTTTCACCCTCTTGCGTCTTAGTGGCTTTATTGCCTTGCTTGAGATGAAATCATTAAAAAACAAGGCGTTTAATTTGCTGTAAAATAGCATGGGAGGTAATAATACATATCTCACTCACTCACTCACTAAATAACTTAAACTCACATAGTAACTCTTTCTTTCACACAATTTTTCTATGCTTCCTATCTTTTTTACCGCTCCATTTCCGTTTGTATTGCTTCTTTGCATCTGTATTCATTTCTTTCCTTTTTTCTTTCTTTTTTTCTTTCTTTCTTGCTTGCTTGCGTTCTTTCTTTCAAATTTCTTTACCTTTCATTTTTCACGTATCCTTCCCTTCACTCCCCTTTATTTCTTCTTTTCATTGTTTCACTCTTAGCTTCATTTCTTCCATTCATTTTTATTTATTTATTTATTTGCTCCCGTTCAATATTGGTTTCCTTTATTTACTTATTTACATGACATCCAAATTACAGATGTCGTTACATAGTTATAGACAGGCGTATTAATATATAGACTGTTTATCAGTTAATGACCTACCGTAATTGTAATTGGCGTAGAAAATTCCAACCCATCTCGATGTGCGGTTCTGGTGACCATCGTTTTATTCAAAATGTTGGAATGAGAGAAATAGGTAGAACAAATACAAAAATACTTTATTTCAAATTATGTGATTCAAAGAGGGGAATAGGTCTCCCTATTTCAAATCACAAAAAAATTCCGCATGAAAAAGCAGGAAAATAGCACCTGCACCGTGCAGAATGCTTAATAACCGCTTTATATAAGCTTTAAATTACAAACGCTACACAAGCATATAGCGACGTGTACTTAGTCATGTGAATTCGCCGAATGTTGTGTGTCTTCCTTTAATCACGCTAAGATACTGAATATTAGTGATTTGGGCTTTGATCACTTCATCATTAACACTTTTTTTTGGACAAACCACGTTTTTCAATATGTTACGAAATTCTGTAACTGCGCAAAATACTCACAACACCAGAACACCCATTCGACAATGACCCAGGAAAACGTTATTAAATTGACTTCAGAAAATCTGCTTTGTCAACGTAAGAAATCGGACTTCATGCAAAACAATCATGAATATGTCGCTTGGACATTTGCTGAGTTCTGTAGTAAAGATCTAAGGCTCAATTCCGGCTAGCTCTGGCATGTGGCACAAAGCCGCTTTTTTTCGTGAGGCGTTTCGAGCCCGTAAGGCGCGGCAAAAATTGACCGTAGGCCCTGTATACACCGGGTTGGGTAGCTGTCTACCTCCCCAGACGAGACTCTACTCTTCGGCATAGCCTCGTCCGACAAGCTCTAAGAGCTTAGCGCGCGTCTAGCTCTCTCCTGATGATTTTCGCTTACCCGGATGTTGTATTTTAATATCTGTTTTAGGAATACGTACTTCAAAGGTATTGTAAAGTATGACCACCTGTAAATTAAATTGCACTGAATGCTTATTCTGTGCATAACTAAACCTCAATTGATTTATATGTCTTCTATGTTGAAATCATTCACATTCGATAATGTACATCATAATACCAAGGCGTCGAATAATTTTTCCTTCCTGCCAATTTTCCTTTCCCCCTTTAAAGCTTTTATAGAAGACTTTGTCAGCGATCTTAAATGATCTGGTAATTTCAAATTGTCGCGTTTTCTTTTTATCCCTTGTCAAAAATGAATCTAATCTTTCTAGCAAACATGAGCTTTGCAGGTGACATTTTGGCGGTGACGTTTGCATTTTACATCATTCGATACACAATCAAAAATTATTGTAGTGACCTTTCTTCAGCTTCCAAGCCTTTAACTTTTCTTAATGCCCGTTTGAAACCGTTGAGATTAATTATCGGATACTACACTGTCAGGTACTCCAGACCTTACAAAAGTTCCGGTAAAAATTTAAATATTATCGCGGTAGTAGGTCGTTTACAGTTTGATATCTCGTGCTATTTTGTAAAACTGTCGACGTCAGTTAAATATTATAGAGCGTTTAGTGGTCCAGCAAAGTCCATATGGATTTTTTTTTTAGTGTTCGCCCATGCCTGATAATTTATATATTGTAATTTTGCTGATGAATTCAATCATTACTTTTTTTAATTGTGTTTTGAATATCTTCGTCCAACTTTGGCCAATAAACGTAACTTATCATCAAGGACTTTATCTTCACTATTCCTGGATGCGCTACGTTGAATTATTTCAAAATCCTTTTTTATAGTGATAGCGGTATTACTTCTGTTTCTGCGTACAAAAGTACTCCATTACAAATAGAAATTTTAGTTTTACTCTAATTCGACTTAACGTCATTCATAGTTTTCTGTATAAACGCATCCTTTTTCTTAAGCATTTCATCCCAAGCAAGGCGGAAGTGCCATTAGCACGCAAGGAGTTACAGAGAGTGAAAGTAAGAGTAAAGAGTGGTGTTTGAGGAAATGATAAAGAGAAGGACGGCGATCAAGATCAAGGCATCAGAAGATTTCGATTGACATTACGTCTGAATATTTGAATATTATACTTAACAGGGAAGCAAGTAAGAGGAAGAGAGTTCCCCGTGCTGTATTTTCGTAGCGCTCTTAATAAGTATGTCATCTATGTAAGCGACGGCATCGTTTAGCCCAGCCAACATCGTACGCATTATTTGCTGAAAAATACCTGGGGCTACTTTTACACCCAAGGGAATATTCAAAACTTTCTAGAGTCCTTTATGTGTCATCAACTTCGATTTAAAGATATGACTCAGGTAAATTAAAAAAAAAAAAATACTACAATTTCACAATTATCTACACAGCAAATCAAAGTATTAGGCGGAACAAAAAGGAAAGGTCTTATATATAATTTAGAGATACTCTTGACCTGGAAACACCATTTTAAGACTGCAGATTTAAACGGGACGGATTTATTTATGTCCCAAATGGAAACGGTACCATGTGCTCGTAGGCGGCTGTAAGTTTCGTATTGGGACGTAAAAATTGAACAAGCCATTTCTTGACGAATTAACACTATTAAAGAAGTGCTGGTCAAAAGAATGAAGGCTATTCTCGAGAGCTACCAATTTCTGACTCACCCTAACCCTAGGCAGGATTAAACGCGTGTGTCATCAACATAAATAGCAATAATCATAGCAATTTTATGCAAAATAACCATCGATTGAGTTTTAAATATGTAAAATCTTACCTCGTGGTTGTGTCTTGGAAATTAGTAAAGGCTCCATACAGAAAGAACGAGACAGGAGAGAAATGAAGAATTCGGTTGGTTTGTTCTGATTCACGCGCCTTATTCAGTTGACAGGAAGTGTAAACTAAAAGTAAACAACGACTGAAGATAATGCTATCGCATTTTACAATCGCTGCCAATATGCTTTGATGAGGAAAAGATTCTCTAATGAAAGCAGATTCAATTCTTTTTTCCATCAAAACGTAAGGTATTCTACTTAAAATGTGTCAAAGTGTTGCCTGATGTGTGTCAACGAATCATTGCAAATAATGGCGAATATATGATTGAATAAAATGTAACTACTTCATATTTATTTGGAAGAATAAAGTTGAAAATATTTGTAACTCAAACTAATACTATATTCTTTGTCCTTTTCAGTGATATAAGCAACAATTCGCTAACGCGGCTTCCTGCTGACTGCTTTGCTGCCTTATGGAGATTAAAATCGCTGTAAGTAAAGTATTGTAAGTTTCAGAATCACATAGAAACACAGATATTCTCATAACTGGATAGATTATAAACAAACTGAGAGATGAACAGATTAGATAGATAGAAAGATAGATAGATAAGGTATATGGATAGATAAAAATAATTAATTAAAAGTATATGGAAAGAGAAAGAAAGAAAGAAAGAAAGAAAGAAAGAAAATACACACCAGAGGCTTCTTCAGTATCAATAAAGATATGAGTAATGAAAATGATTTGGAAAATATGAACTCTTCTTCGAACTTCTACTTCACCCCATCTTTTGTCTATTGTTTTGAGCACGATTCCAAGTTTTCCAATTATAGGCACTTCGCTAATCATCACGTCCCATATTTTTGTTCAACTCGTGGGGGAAGTTTTGGTATTTTTTTTAAGCGTTTCACCCCAAAGAATGCGGGAAGCCACCAGGACGCAAGGGGTTACAAAAGATTTGGAGCAAGATCAGATAGGAGTGATAGAGGAAAGGATGAGGATAGTGGATAGATCAAGGCAACTGGAGATGTCGATTGACATTACATTTGAATAGTTGGAGATTATAGCTCTCAGGGAAACTGGAATAGGGAAAGGAGTTCCTCATACGAGAGGTGCGAGATATGAAGCTATTGGAGTTGAAGAGACGGCTATATTTAATAGTTTCGACAGTGAAAGGGTAAGAGCAGGATGCCAGCCTCGTAGGGCGCTTGAATTCAGCAAATGCAGCTCCTCGGAGCAATTACCATGAAAGTATTTGTAAAAAAGACAGTGAGAGGCGACGGCGCGTCTGTGAGAGAGCGACTGTAGACAAGATGCCAGAACAGGGCCAATTATATTGCATATCCGCCACTGGATCTTATCAAGAACCCCGAAGCAAACAGAAGGGGCTCCATACCATATATGGATGCAAGGGAGAATTGTTGATATGTAGATCTGAAGGATCGATTCCGGGGAGAAAAATTTCCTGGCGCGGCACAGGGAGCCAACTTTCCTTGCAGTGACGAAGCAATTGACTCAATGTATTTGTTCCATCTCAGGGCAGCAGTCAACGCGAGACCGAGTAGCCACAGAGAGGTGCTCTCGAGAAATTGAGCGTCAGATATTCTAATGGAGGGCAGGGAAGGATCTCTGTGGTGATTAATAGAGAGCAGTTTTGTTTTTGAGGCATTAAAGTTGACCAGCCAATTCTTGCCCCAGTTAACAACGGATTGGAGGTCCTTTTCGAGACACATGGCTAGGTTAGTTTTGTTAGCGACACGAGATTTGTTTTTGAGGCAGGAGTAAACTGTGGTGTCATCAGCGTAGATGCCAACTTGGGAATTTATGGCGTCAGGAAAGTCATTTATGTAGATAAGGAATAGAGTGGGGCCCAGGATGGAGCCTTGAGGAACACCTGCGTTCGTGGGATAGGAACTGGAGGAGAATCCGTTGAGAACGACCTTCAATTCACGGTTTGACAGTAATGATTGTATTAGGTCAAACAATCGACCCGTAATTCCATAACCCTGGAGCTTGCGAAGAAGGCCGGCATGCCAAACCCTATCAAACGCTTTGGGGATGTCTAGGTCCACAGCACGAGCTCCCCCGTTATTGTGAAGAGCGTGGTAGACAGTTTCAGTGATGGCCGTAAGCACATCAGCTGTAGATGGGGCAAAGTGGAAGCGATATTGCTTGTCTGAGAGCAGATCATGGGATTTAAGCTGGTTAACCACTTCGGCATTGATTAGGGCTTCGAAGACTTTACCGAAGAAGGGTAGGAGACTGATAGGACGGTAATTAGAAGGGTCAGAGAGGTTGCCAGAGTTCTTGAAGACAGGAACAATCGAAGAGGACTACTAGCAGTCAAGAAAACAAGATTCTTTGAGGCAGAAGTTATATAGTTTAGAGAGGGCGGGCGCCAGTTCAGGCGCGCATTTCTTCAGAACAATGGCTGGTATCCCATCCCCACCACTAGCCTTGTTGGGGTCTAAATTGGAGGGTTTATGTGTAACCCACTCAATAGGGCCTCAGTTCTAAGAGGGAAGTCGGGTATGGGTACACCGGAAGAGTCGAGCGTTTAGTTGAATGAAAATTTCCGAGCAAAGCATTCAGCCTTGTCGGCAGAGGAGGTCAGGACTTCAAACTGGTTGAACAAAGGAGGTATAGAGAGTTTACTATTGTTCAGTACGCTCTTGCAAAGACGCCAATAATCTTTGGAGCCAAATTTGCGAGATGCAATACGCTCCGTCATCCGAGCAGCAAATAGTGACTTAGCTTCGTTGAGGACACGCTTACACTCCTTACCGGCAGAGGCAAAGAGACGTCTATTGCAGTCCGACATGTCGCTACGAAATAGGTGAAAGAAGTGGTTCCTATGGACAATGGCGGCTGAGCAATCAGCGGAGAACCAAGGGGAGGAGCGCGACTTGACCCTATATTTTCTTGAGGGGATGAAAGCGTCGATTCCAGCTTTAACCCAGGATGAGACCTCAGAAGCACATTCTTGAACGGGGAGCGTAAAGATAACATCCCAGGGGACATCGTGGAGGAAATCACGGAACGAGTCCCAGTCAGATCGTTGATAGTAGAACGAAGTTCTAGCGGTGGGAGGTTCTTTGCAAGTGGTGGAGTTGAAGGAGATGTTAACAGATACTACAGCATGATCGTAGTTACCAAGAGGGCAGAGTTGCGTGGCGCTACAAGACTCGAGGATAGAGGTAAAACACAGATCGAGAAGAGAGGCCTTACCTTCCCGGTTGAAGGCAAAACGAGTGGGGAAGTTAACTATCTGCGTGAGGGATTGAGAAACTGAAAAATTAAATGTTTGAATGCCTGCGTGGTCAGTAGTAGCATTCTTAAGCCACTTGGTATGATGGGCGTTAAAGTCGCCAAACACAAATATGTGAGCAAACGTATGGAGGCAGAGAGCCTTGACTATGCTGTCAGAAATGCTATCGAGTATCTCACAGTCTTGAGAGGATGGAGAGCGGTAAAGGAAGAAGAGATAGCTTACCGCATTGAGATTCGGGAGACATCTCTCTGGCCAGAGGGAGATGGTCCTTGACATAGACACCAAGGCCGTGCATGTGGGTTAGAGACTCTTTTCTGAGGAGAGGAAGGTAGCCTGGGATCGAGAGATCAGAGGAGGGGATAGACGAGACAAGGTTGGTCTCCCAGAGAGCCAGTATATCCGGGCAGTTTGCAGTGAGGAAATATTCCATACTGCAGAAGTTTGTTCTAATGCCACGGATGTTGTAGAACGAAATGTTGGGGTTTAGGTGATTTTTGAGGAGCTGGTTTAGGATTACTTTTTCGGTCTTTGTAAGTCATCATGTGGAATTATGGTTGGAGGATGAGAAGGCCCTCAAGTAAAAGAAGCAGACTGTTATCGACCGTGACGTGGGAAGAGAGGAGTTGGCAAAGCCTGCATCATAATGTGGCCTCAGGGTTGCCCACCGTAGGTGACTGCAGGAACACCTTTCCATGCGCGACATGGCACTACAAACACCCCGGTATTATACAACTGTTGATCAGAGCGGCCGCTCAAGACGCTACGCAAGAGTTAGGGCTCCTAACTACCAGTCGGAAACAGCAACCAGAGAACTGTCAACCGTGTACCCTCAAAATGAAGAGGTAATGCCACAGACTGCACACATCACAGGAAAAACAGAGCAGCACTAGTACACAGAGAGAGAGAGAGAGTGTGTGTGAGAGTGTGTGTGAGCCTCTACTCATGTCCAAGAGAAGGGGGAGGAGTGTTGACCGGGCGGTAGGAAAGCCTACCTACTCCTATTACATATAACACATACAAGAACGACAAAAACAAAGAAAAAGATTAGAGGGGGAGGTAATTGGCAAAGTGTCCAGGCTGACACTTTTATTTTACCGTTTCACAACACTAAGTCCCACTGCCCTCTTCTAAAAAAAAAAAAGAAATTGCAGAAAATAAGGTTATCCAGCTTTGTTGATATGTCATAAATGCCACATCATACGTGGCAGCGAGTGATTATCCGCTTTCATTCCCGTGAATATACGGCTTACCTTAAATCCAACATAGTTTCAACGAAACGCAGAGGGGGGACAACGGCCAATCCTCCGCCCCTACCCAAAGTGGGCTTGGGAGACTTGCTTTCAACATAATTAAGAACAACGGGAGAAAGAAACAGCAAAAATAATTCCGTGTTCAGATATTTTATCTAGCAAGAAAATTCGGCTAACTAGATCATGAGAACACTGTCGAGACACTTTCGCTTCTAGCCAAAGATATTCAATTTTCTTTTTTAATTTTTCTTTCGAACAGGGATTTCCAACTAAACCAACAAATAGGATTATTATGAGTTTCAAGTTTTCTCTTTCTTCCGCTTTTATACGGTGGTTGACTGGAACAAGCAAATATAGTGTCTGATATGTATTCTTCCTCTTATTTACGAATATCAAATCCTGACTTTTAGTTTGTTGGAGGGAGCGGTCCGAATCGCAAACGCCTACAATATCTACGATGGCTTCTGCTTTGTGCTGACGGCTTTTGCTTAAAATTTCGAATGAGCCCAGGACATTTGCACTGTTCCATCTGTATGACTGCTCCAACACTGTCATGGCTGCATGTCTACTTTTACATTCCCTTTAATCTATCTTGAAGCATCATTTTATCAAAAAAAATATATCTGTTACTATGCTTTCTCCGTTTTGTCTGTTTTGTATTTTATGCAATGGGTTTCTGATATATTTCTTCTGGTCTGAAATGATGAAGCATTCCGTTTCTTTTTTCAGTTGTCTTCTGCATAATCATGTTAATCCTTTTTGGATATTATTAAATTTTATTTTCAGTAACTTGGCAGCTAACAACCTTACAGAAATAGAAAACGAGACATTTGTCGGATTATCAGGGCTGCGTTCATTGTAAGTATTTTTTTTTAAATTTAATTGTAAGATACGAGATCTGTTCAAAAATTATCGGGACCGTTTGCTATGGTAACGGAGCTAAAGTGCGTAAAGTGAAACCGCTTGGCACAAATTGACGCTGAACTCTGTCGCGTATATACACTGTTATAACTGTTATAATGTTCACTTCCGTTGCTTGGAAGAAATGTGTGTGGAGTATGGTTGTCCTACCACACCAGAGGGCTTTCACCAGTGGTCATAGCTTGTGCAGCAGTTTTTCGCCTAGTACAACATTCCCTGGGTGCGACAGATGCAAATGCTCGCTAACACCAAAAAGCAGTCCCAGAGAAATGTCTATCAATGGAATCGACACTGGATAAAGTGTGTTGCTTCCAAAGGATACTACTTCGAAAGAGATTAAATGCCGGAAGATATGTGTTCTAGTTTTATTTTTATAGCGCGTCCCAGTACTTTTTTATGAGACCACATACAGAATCAATATGTCATAAAAGTTGTTGTCTCGTTCTCCATATAAAATAATATGTAAAAGCATATAATCCCCATTGACAAATAGCTCACCGAAGTTAAGCAACTCAAGCTTGGTCAGTAACTAGATGGGTTACCCCTTGGTAAATACCAGGTGCTGCAAGCTGGGATCTGCGCGTAGTGTAATGGATAATGGCTCGAAATTGTTAATAAGAGAGCCGAGCTTAAATTTCTGTTCCATTCGTCATATTCACTTATGCATAAATACCCTTGCGAAATGTATGAATCCACCTCTTCTCCCCTCGTCTATGGATTAAATAATAGTTTTTATCAGTAAATCATTATCTCAAAAATAATTTCTTACAATCTAAAAAGTATTTTCTGGCTTTAAATAATCTGCAAAAGATTGATAAACCGTAAAAATAGCCCAGTTCAATTCTTCTGTGTATGCCATCAACACACTTTTGGGGTTTTATGTAAATTGGCAACCATTCAAAGAACTTACAGCGCATGCTTCAAAGATTATTCAATCAGCAATGAAACGCAACTAAAGGAGTTTTGTTCTGTGTTACCGTTAGAGTTGTCCACCAAAATGAAATTCTCACGAATGGCCTTGTCAAACTTTTCACGGCCATCTCCGCCAGGTGGTGGGAGAAAGTGAATAGTCTGAGAGGATGACGATCCTGATGCTTGGATGTGACTGGTGCCGACAACAACTGTTGCCGGCCACCTTACAGTATATTGTTGTCATTCCTCGCAACATCTAGTTCTCACCAGAGCCTGAAGTCATTATTTAAAGGGTGGAGGTTTCAAAATGTGTAGTAGATTCAGGAATATGAGCGCACTACGAAAATGCTGATGATGAAACTTGAAAAGTGTTTGCAAGACTTCTTGAAATTTGAGAGGGATAATGGGACAAATCTGTGAGGTTCTTTGAAGGGAGCTCAAAGTAAGCATTTTCATACGAAATATATTTTTAAATTGATAACGACTGTAACTTTACGAGCAATTCCTAAATATGTGCATATGTAGCTATGGATTATGCTTTTATATTGTATTTCTTTTTAAGTAATCTAGAAAACAAATTATAACCGGTACAGCCATCCATCTGCCCATATATATATATATATATATATATATATATATATATATATATATATATATATATACGTGTGTAACAGCAAAATAGTTAAAATCTTGTAACAGCAAAATTGTCCTGTTGTTAGATTAAGGTCTGAAAAGTTTACATTACTCGAATAGTCCAAGGTTTTTCTAACACTCCTGGACTATATTAGAACAATAAAAATGTATAATTACTCTTCAAGCTTAACAGAAGAATCGTGATGAAATGGATCATAAATTAAAATGACTTGTTCATAATTAATCATAACTAAGGACCAGAAGTTCACGAAACCACGAAATAAAATTCATATATATCAACATATATATGAACTAACCTTAACTCTAAGTTGACATATATATACCGGGTGTAATAGAAAAATTGTCCATCCCTCAAAATGATTAATATCTAAAAAAATTGAGTTTGTTTCCATGTATTCAGATGAGACATTTAGCCATCTTGACACTATTTGTCCTAAGAATCACTGAAAAACCCTTTGAGTTATTCAACTAGAAAGAGAGCAGGTTAAAATCATTTGTGTCAGCCCCACTGTCGTCTCAACTGAGCAATGGTAGTAGGAAAAAGATCTTTCAGTAATGTTACCAACATTCATACTCTAGCTTGCATCTTCAAAGTTCATTCAAGAACCAAGAAAGAGCCGTATAAGGGGAAAATGGATCAGGAGGTCACAACAGAAAGAGGGATCATCATTTCACATTAGAGCTAAATACCTTTGTATTGTTCAAAGTAGAGTCCTATAGTGTTATAAAAGAAACCTTGGAAAATTTAAATTACATTAAATTTAAGTTACAACGGTTCAAATCTTAATCTAACAATTTTGCTGTTATATATATATATATATATATATATATATATATATATATATCGAGTAGCGACCATAATGTAAGGAACGGAAACAATAAAGACAAAGTCGAAATATCCAAGGTTTTTCCAAATATGTCTCCATCGCGACACAGAAACTACTATGTTTCGAAACTGGAACTTAAATCGAAAAAATTACCTTTAAAAGTTAAATTTAAAATTCGTATTCGGTTTTCATTCTCATGCGATGTTAAGAATAGTTATTTATTCGTACGTTTGTACAAAATGTGGCATAAGGCCAAAAAAGGGGGTTGGGGAAGGACGGTCTTCTGTCTTAATTCTAAACTTAGCTAGTCACAGACACGGACCCAAACATACCAACAATATATCTATCACCAAAACAACACATTCACTCCTACCTTTCTTACTGCGTCCACCATAATACCTCAAATTCTCTATGAAATCCTAAATAGTCCCCATATGTACATTTCAAAGTCTGTGGGGGCGGGGGGAAGCAACAATTTAAAAACCCCAATGATTATTTACAATATGATTTAATATTATTTACATAAAACAAAACAAAATAGGGTTAGTAATAAAAAAAAAAAACCACAATCCCTAAATGTGGCAGAAACATTATAAAAAACCAAGCACACCCACAAACAGGCACTCATTTAGACATAATAACAAATACGAAAACACACACACGAAACGAGTCATCCCGCAACAACTGACATCACTGACGAGGCAGGGGATGGGGAATTAAAAAAAAAGAAAATATAGGGACAGAAATAAAAGGGGCCAATGAGCATGCATATCCTAGCTAAGTTAACCAGAAGCGGGAAACTAAAGATTCAAACTAAAAAACCTAAACTAGCCTAATATCGGGGCGGGTTGCCTCTGTTCAACCCTGATAGGACAAAACCCTGTACCTAACCGACATCCAAGTGCCACTCCAGGTCAGCCCCTTTCACTCTACACAGTCGCGCAAGATTTACCCACCTTTTGCCGAATTCTGATGAAGAGAGTCGCCGCCTTTCCGTCCTAATCATGACTTTAAGCAGATGCCTAAAGAACAAGATCAGTTGGAAAGAGGTGAATTTATCACCTCCATAGAATCCCTTCTGGCGTGTCGACCAAATCACAACTCTCATAACTCCTAGCAAGCAGTGGAACACAAAGTTCAGCCTTCGTCAACGGCGGTGCCACATTGCTACAAAAAGAAGAGGCCTCAAGGACAAAGAACTTTCCGTGCAACATGCGAACCATGAGGCCTTCAACAAACTTACACAACGGAGCTACCAACTTGCAATGAAAGAAGACGTGACCTAGAGTCTCGACTTCCCCACTACAACGTCGGCAGTTTGGATATTTCTCCAAACCCGCAGCGCAAAGCTTTTTGGCGACCCATAGGGCCCCACGCATCACCAACCAGGTGAGGGATGCCTCATCGTTATTGAGACTTTTCAACCCGGGTGCCCAAGGCCAGATCGAGCGAGCCTCCTGCTTCATAAGACCGAGCTCGTCAATCAAATCATCATAAACGGGCCCCCTAACTAACACTTGATATAATGCCCTACGAGACAACGCCTGGACGTTGGAGAGGCTATCCGACGCCCGTAGGAGGCGTTTCAGAGCAAGACGACATTCACGGTAGAAGGAGCACTCGACTCGGTGTAAACGGCGGGCCTCCTCCTCGCACGAGTGCACACTTCTCAAGGATGGGAAATTTCTAGAAGGCACCCACCTCATCGTGTTCGCGACAGAAACGATCTAGGAACCCGATGCGAAGCATATAGAGACGGATCTCAATGCTAGGCATACCTAGACCGCCTTCAGATGGATGAAGGCAACAGATCTCCGAGAGACTCTGGCAGCCTTGCCTCCCCACAAGAAGGAGAACATGAGCTTTACTAACGCAAAAAAAGTGTCAGACGGAAGTGGAAGGACAGAGAGTCGGTAAAGGAGAATCGGGTAGATATGTGAAACACACACCTCCGCCCTCCACTTTAAGGAAAGATTCCTCCGAGACCACAAATTAATTGCGATCTCAGCCTTCCCTTGTACCTCCAACCAATTCATTCGCAACTGGATATCTGGACCGAATCAGACGCCGAGTATCTTGACCGGTCCATCCGTCCAGTGGAAAGGTCCGGAAAGAGAAACTCCCTTCCACGCACCCAACCGCAAGCCAACATACTTATCTTGGCCCCTGTCACCATCTCATAAACACTGATTTCTTTGCTGACTTCGTTAATCTCGGCTCTGCTCGACACAAGAACTGAAACGTCATCAGCATAGGCAGAATACCTGGCCTAGGTGGTAGCCCCAGGTAGGGAAATTCCGCGTAGGACCGGATTCGCGTTTAACTTGTGAATGAAAGGTTCCAACGTAAGAACGTAAAGCATAGGCGAAAGCGGACAACCCTGACGAATAGATCGAGACAATACTAGAGGTTCCGATCTTATCCCGTTCACTTCCACCAGCGCACCGGGAGTCGCATACAGAAGACGGATCCAGGAGCGAAAGTCCGGCCCGAAACCGGCAGCCGAAAGAACAGCCTCCAGGAATCGATGGTCAACCCTATCAA